ACCAGAACCATTGAAAGCATATAAATTTTAAAAAATGAATGTTCTTGACTTAATTATATACATCAAAAGATGGGAGTCTTTGTATTATTTGACAACATCACATTGGGTTATAGAATCAAAGCTTGTGCAGGATAAGATGAGCTCCAAACTGTGGGTGAATGGTGAAGACTTTGTAAGGCAAATGAACATAAGAGGGAGAAAGCTCGAAAGAGAATCTCTGCAGAATCAATGCCATTGCCATCTTTGCCTCCAACAAAGCAAAATTTTGACCAATGCAGATCCTAGGTCCCCATCCGAAGGGCAAGAAGCATACTTGGTTCTTTGTTGCCTTTGAGATCCCGTCTTTGAACCTTTCCGGCTTGAACTCAGATGCATCGTTTCCCCAAAGCTTAGTGTCGCGATGAATTAGCAAAATAGGCATATGGACTTGAACACCGCCTGGTAGTGTTAGATCGCCTAGTTTTATCTCTTTGTGGACCGCTCGGTTCATTTCGATGAGTGGAGGATATAGCCTAAGGACCTCATAAATAATCATCCTCACCTGTAGGATTCATTCAACAAAATCATCAAAATGTAATAACGGAAGCATTATTAACTTGAAAAGGTTTAGCCAGTAGTTTTGTAGAGTGAGTAGAGACTCATCATGTTAGTCAAGGTTAGAGATCGAGTTCCACCATCTACGAAAAAATCGTTGACGTTTCCTCTTGACAACTATAGACGGACTTAAATAGCAAGAATACTTGATTTTCTATAAACCTTGAAGATTAGTCCCCCGGTTATAAAACTTGAAAATGTTTCTGGTTTGGTTTAATACTTACAACTTTGAGTTGGTTAATGCCTTCTAGATCGGGATTGCTATCGCCAAAAACTTGCATTACTTCCTCCCGTGCGCGAGCTTGCCAGTCTTGGTGTTGGCTTAACAAAACCATTGTCCAAGCCAAAAGTACTGAAGTGGTCTCTTGCCCCGCGAAGTAAAACAACTTACACTCTTCCATTATTTCTTCAGTGGTCAGTTCATTTCCTTTCGTTTGCCCTGAATTTGATTCAAGAAGTATATCCAACACATCGCCACTCGGTGCTTCTCCAGCATCTCTCGCCTTTACCCTATTGCTAATGATCCCTTTTAGTATACCTTGAATTTCTCTAACTATTGTCTTTATTCTTCTATTATTCTTTGTTGGGAAATGCCTACACACACAAAAAAAGAAATATGAAGAGTAAAATTCACAAGTCCTCATTGACAAAAATCAAGATATCTTATTGTCTATTGTGTTAGAAAACCGACCAAAACAAGTTAAGTCTCATACCTATATCCAGGGATGCAATTCTTCCCAAGAACTTGTATAATGAGATGTGCTAGTTCCTTTTGTAGTATAAATATCCTTTCGCCTTCTTTGTAGCTGCTACCAAAAGCGGTACGAGAAATCACATCCCCGGTCAAATTAATAATCCATGGCCAAACATCAATTTCACACGATGATCCTTTGCTTGAAACTAACTTCTCCCATTCGCACATAACATCGTTGCAACTTTTATAAAACGCAGGGACCATATTCTATACAAAAAATCATAATGAAGGCAAAAAAAAGGTGATCCATCACTCAGCAGCTAAAAGCAATTTTGACAATATAAGAGAAGTGAATCTGAAACCTTGATCTTCTCAAAATGGAATGCCGGGTTGATGATTCTCCGATGTTTCGCCCATTTATCTCCATCAGCATTAGCGAGTCCATCAGTTATCAATGCAGCCAAAGGAAACGTGTGCGTCTTGGGGAAATCATAAACTTTGTTATATACTTCTTTGATAAGTTGTGGATTCATGATTGTGACGGATGGTACTGGTCCTAACCATGTGAAAAAAGTCTTTCCTGTTTTATCAAAAAAAAAAAAGTCTTTCCTGTTGTAGCCACATACACATATGTAAGAAGGAATGGTTTTGAAGAGGAAGTCAAATATTAAACTTAAACCAATAAATATGTATACCATAAGTGTTGAGCATTTTCAAGGAGTACGGCATGACAAGTGAGATGAGATCTTTCTTCGGTTTCGATCTTACTTCCTTTAACATGCTAAAACTCCTTCTCACATCTCCGACAAGAGGCGTGTAACGAGTTCCGACTAGACCTTGTCTTCTCAGGTAAGTCTCAAGCATCTTAGGTCTCAACCAAACCCACTCCGCAATTCCCCATATCCACCACATTACAACAACCATAGCCAATGATGCAACTGATGGTATCAACATTTCGTAATTGTTTTTTTTTTTGTTTCTTAGAACATCTCCAATGGTAAGAGACTTATAGAATTTCTTTTCAATATAATAATATTTTTAATATTTTTTAATTGGAAAACATTAATATTTTTTAAAAAGTGTTATTTTTAACGGTGAAAACTATAGTATCTTACAAATAAAATATTAACATAAATAACATACTTTATTATTTTTAAAACTATTTCATTAATATTTTTAAAAATATATCAACTTACATTTAAATATATCTAATTACAATACTTATTTATTTGTATTTTTATCATCATCTATAAATTTTAGAGAAAATTCAAAAATGCCATTTTTCAACTGTCACTTTTCAAAAATGCCACATTTTCAAAAAAAAAATTATTATATCATTTATGTTTGGGTTAACTATGTTGTATTAAGGTTTAGTTTTGAGGGTTTAAAGGGTTTTAGGGGTCAAAACATTTTTTAGGGTTTATAATTTTAAGATTTAGGCTTTAAAAATCTATAATTAGTGGCATTTTTGCAAATAGACACCTCTAAGTGGCATTCTTGTAAATGTACACACCAAAAGTGGTATTTTTGCAATTGCCCCTAAATTTTAACAATCTTAATTAATAACAATATTAATAATGTTAACATCAACTTATAAATAAATAAAATTTTTAAATTTTAAATGCTATAAAGATAACATATTTAAATTTTCAAAATACAATTTTTATTTTTTAAGTCTCATATTTCCTAATATAATCATATAATTATTTTAACAAAAATGTTAGTAATTCATATTATTGTATTAACTTTAATTAATATCAAGTAAAACTAATATAAATATATAATTTAAACATATGAATTATGGAACTTATTAAAAATATAATTTTATTTTAAGATTTATAGAAAGTAAACAAATAAAAAAATAACAAGATACAAACTATTTAAGTTTCAATTAGATTAAATAGTTTGTATTTTGTTATTTTTTTAATGTTTTCGTTGAAGATGCTTTTAGTGTTTTTGAAAGTTTTGATGAAGAAATGCATGTGCTTATTTAGCTTTAATACTAGTAGAATTTATGTTTCGGACAATAAAATATTGTTTGTAACTGTCGAACTTGCGCCTTTACTCCGATCCTCACGACCTCCGGCCACATATTTGTCTTCCATGCCTTGATGGTTCATGAGGTAAGGATATTAACTTTTAGCAATTATTGCTATATTTTCTTAATTACTTAAAACACGGAGCCAGATATATTATGAAATGCGATATTTATGACTTAATTAATGTCAATATACCATCACTCTCTATTTCATTATATAAATTAAAAAAAACTATTTGGACAATGATATTTTTTCATTTTAGTTTATGTAACTTCTCATTTCACCGGGAGCCAAAACTTTTTTTATTACTTCCTCCGTTTCAAAATATAAGTTATTTTAGAGGTGTTTTTATGTTTCAAAATATAAATTGTTTTGATAATCGTATGTACTTTTTAACTTTATTGATTATTGTATGACCAATAGTATTTTGCAGTCGTTTTTTTCATTGGTTAAATTATTTTTATTATATATATAAGATTATATTTTTTTAGAAAAAAATAGTTTCTTAATATTCTCACTTTTAGCCAAAACAATTTATATTTTGAAACGGAAAGATTATTATTTTATAAAGTCATATGATACCATAACACATAAGCTAGCTTTTGGATGGGTTATACCTATGAGTTTTATTGGATTTAATTTAAGAGCAAAATATTAAATAGGTTCTTTCATAAACCAATTTGATTCGATATAAGTTTTTGCAGGAAGGACAGTGTCACTGGTAGTGGTCATCTTGAATGGTTTCTTATTGGTGACAGAGTGAAAAGCAATAATCTGTCATGTGTTTTCTCTTCAGATGGTGGCACTTGTATGGAGATGTCATGAAGAATAGTCCAAACTTATCCACAAGTCTTTGTTCCTATCTTGTAACACTAACACCAGGGTCCATCATAAAGTATGCATCCATGTCAGTGTTGAGTGATCAGTTCAAATTTTATTTTGTCAAAGCCAAAAAGGGCAAAAATGTTTTGACATTAGTGATAAAATAATTGAGGTTGATAGTGCTCAAGAGTCAAGAGGCATCTCATAACGGAGAAAGGCTAATGTGCTTAGGTTTCATTAAGATTCGCATGTGTGTGATGCATATCAATCATCAGTGGTTGAATCCATTAGGATTGAACATGTAAAGCATGCAACTTCATGCATGTAGTATATCATTCTTTTCTAGATTCTCATTCACTATGATAATAATAGTAATAATGCATTCTCATTCTGTACACACACATTCGAATCTCTTGATAAGTTTATCTGAAAAGTTTCTAAAAACCATAAGATATATATATGAGTTTTACTAAAACAACCTTAGAAAGTTGATTTTTGACCAAAATGATGCTATTCTTTGAAAATTACTCAAACAACCTTGAAAAACTATTAATACCCGTTTTAACCTTATTTTATTTAAAGAGAAAAAACGTATTTATGAAACTGCCATTAATGAGGCAGCGAATAAGTTACCGTTCATGTGATGGTAGATTTATTTGCGATTGGTAGATTTATTAAGTAGTTGGTAGACTTATTGATGGTTTGCGTAATGGTAGACTTATTTATAGTAGTGGTAGATTTATAATATGTGGTAGACTTATTTCTCGTAGTGGTAGAGTTAATTTTGTGATCGATAGACTTATTTCTAGTGGTGGTAGAGTTAATTTTGTGATCGGTAGATTTATTGATGGTTCGCACACTCGTAGATTTATTTATAGTAGTGGTAGATTTATTTTGAGTGATAAACTTATTAGTAGTAGTGGTAGAGTTAATTTTGTGATCGGTAGATTTATTGATGGTTCGCGCAATGGTAGACTTATTTATTGTGGTGGTAGATTTATAAAATGTGATATACTTATTTGTAGTAGTGGTAGATTTAATTTTGTGATCGGTAGACTTATTTCTAGTAGTGGTAGAGTTAATTTTGTGAACGGTAGACTTATTGATGGTTCGCGCAATTGTAGACTTATTTATAGTAGTGGTAAATTTATTTTTGAGTGATAGACTTATTAGTAGTAGTGGTAGAGTTAATTTTGTGATCGGTAAACTTATTGATGGTTCGCGCAATAGTAGACTTATTTATAGTGGTGGTAGATTTATAAAATGTGGTAGACTTATTTGTAGTAGTGGTAGAGTTAATTTTGTGATCGGCAGACTTATTGATGGTTTGCGCAATCGTAAACTTATTTACAGTAGTGGTAGATTTATTTTTGAGTGATAGACTTATTTGTAGTTGTGGTAGAGTTATTTTGTGATTGGTAGACTTATTGATGGTTCGCATAATCGTAGACATATTTATAATAGTGGTAAAGTTATAATATGTGGTAAACTTATTTATTTTATTGTAATGGTAGATTTATTCAATCTTTTAACTTTTTTACTAAAATAACCTTAGACTTGTTTATAGTAGTGGTATATTTATTTATAAGAGCATCTCCAATGGTTTACACCATTTTTTACACCAAAAATGAGGTAACACCAAAATGGTGTTGGGTTTTGCTCCAATGGTTTACACCAATTTTTACACCAAAATGGAATATTCTTAATAGATTCTATTTTTCAATTCTATAAAATTTACAAATCAACCCCACTTATTTTTTAAAATTTTAAAAATAATAAAATAAATTAAATTTAACATTTATTATATAAAAGAAATACTTTGTAACATATAAAATAATAAATATATTAAGATTTTGTTTAATTATTATCAAACATATTAGATTTTGGGTTTAACCATCACAATTTGTATATGTTTTTCATTAATTTTAAAGTTGATTAAAATTTGAAGGACATTTTTATAAATAAAAAAAAGTTCAACACCAAAATGGTGTAAACCTATTTTCAACACCATATTTGGTGTAAAAAATGAGTTTACACTATTTTGATGTTGGAAATGGTGTTTGGTTGGAGAGACTTTTACACAAAAAAATAGGTTTGGTGTTGGGTTGGAGATGCTCTAATAGTGGTAGATGTATAATATGTGGTAGATTTATTTATAATATATCAATTTTTTAACAAAAAATCAAAAGATTTTGAGTTTTTTTTTTCAATTTTTGATTTTTAATCCGATTTTTACCTAAATTTCGATGTTTCTGCAGCCTCCACACCTCTGCCGAGCATGATCCGGTGCTTCCGTAGCTTCTCCGACCGCGGTTTCAAACAAATGTTTGATTTAAAAAAAAAAAGTTTTTTTAGTGTGAATAAAATTTGACGTTCATTTCAAAAAAAAACTTTATGCATGCAGTATAATCATTCTTATCTAGATTCTCATTCACTATGATAATAATAGTATTAATGCATTCTCATATTCGAATCTCTTGATAAGTTTTATTTGAAAATTTTCTAAAAACCATAAGATATAAAATATTGAGACAAAATTAAAAGGAACATGGGTCATCAATCTAGCAAATTTAATCTTGAATCTTAATAAGAAAAAAAAAACAGAGGATCTTGGAAACTTTGTGAATCGATCTCAGAGCATGTGGAAGATCAACGGAGCACCAAACTGAGGATGAAGTGTAAGAACAGTGTGAGGTGCGTGAGTGTACGAAGGAGACAGCTCGAAGGAGAATCTCCGTAGAATCAAGACAAGAGCCATCTTAGCTTCCATTAGAGCAAAATTCTGACCAGGACAGAATCTTGGTCCCCATCCAAACGGAAGAAACGAAACTTGGTTCTTCGTGGCCTTTGAGATCCCACCAGCGAATCTCTCGGGTTTAAACTCATGAACATCTTCTCCCCATAGCTCGGGATCACGATGAACCATAAGAACAGGAATCACTAATTGTGAACCACCTGGAAGTGTCGTGTCCTCACCAAGCTTTGTTTCTTTCTCTATTGTTCTACCAAGTAGAATCCCTGGTGGGTATAACCTCAACACCTCGTTCAAGATCATACTCATCTGTCCAACAAAAAAAAAAAAAACGTTTAGTCTGCGTTTTGGTCTACAATCCTCCAGTTAAAAAGTATTGAGGAAAACACAATGGGAATCTTACTATTTTGAGTCGAGAGAGTGAATCAAAGTTAGGTTTGTTTTCTTTCCCAATGACTTGTAAAACCTCTTCTCTAGCTTGATCTTGCCATTTCTGGTGATGGCTCAGCATGATCATAGTCCACACGAGCAGCACCGCGGTGGTTTCTTGGCCCGCGAAGTGAAACAACCTGCACTCTTCTACCACGTCTTTTGTACTCATCCCGTGATCGCCGTAATTCGATTCCAAAAGTATTCCCAACAGATCATTCTTTGGAGCCTCCCCTGCTTCCATAGCTCTCTGTCTTTTCTTGATGATCTCTCCCAATCTAGACTTCACTTCTTTGTCTATTTGCTTCATCCTCATGTTGTTCTTTGTCGGGAGAAACCTAATTCCAGGGATGAAAGCCATCTTAAGAGCTTTTAAAACTCGCCGGCCTTGTTCGTCTTGAAGCTCAAAGATTCTTTTACCTTCCTCATAGCTACTACCAAACGCAGTACGCGAGATTACATCTGAAGTTAAATCTCCAAGATATGGCCAAACATCGATCTCACTCGGTGATCCTTGCTCGCAAACCAAACTCTCCCATTTACTTATCATCTCGATGCAGCTCTCGTAGAACGCAGGTATCATAATCTTCAAAATAAACAAAACAAATCAGTGTTTGATTTATAACAAGTTTAACAAGATGAGGATTTGGTGTAAGAAAGACCTTGAGCTTTTCTATATGAAAAGAAGGGTTTATAATCTTCCTGTGTTTAGACCATTTCTCTCCTTCATACACCGCGACTCCAGTCGCAAAAAGCTCAACGATTGGGTGCAATGGCGGCTTCGGGAAATCGTAATTTCTGTTTAGAACTTCTTTGATGTGTTCTGGTTTCGTCACAATCACACTCGCTGTAGGTCCTATCCACATGTAAGATGTCTTCCCTACACAAACACCAAACCGTAGAAACAGAGGATTTTAACAGTAACAGAGGATCTCTGTTTTGAGTTCATATCAAACTGTTGCTTACCATGATCCTTAACGGTCTGTAATACCAGAGGCATGACACGTGGCGTGTAATCATCGGTTAGACTGATGGGTCTGGACTTTGCTTGCTCCACCATACTGGCTTCCTTCAGAGCGTCTCCGACAAGAAAAGTGAAAGGAGTTCCAGAGAGACCTTGTCTCTTTAGATAAGCCTCATGTTTCTTTGGTCTAAACCAAGCCAGATTCAGACCTTTCCATATTAAT